CTCTTTTTACCACAGTGCTAGAACCTAAGAGTAAAGGGATCTTTTCTCATTCCCAAACTGGAATCTGAGTAACAGAAGAGACCTTAGTCAGTTTGCAGCCTCTCTATTCCTATTAGGCAGAGATGCTTTTCCCTACAGTCTGTTGTTTTCTCCATCTTGGCAGGCCTGACTTTTAATGGTCATCTCTGCTTTCTGTTTCCTTGATAGGCTTCCTCCTGGCTCACTCATCCCATTACCACATGCTGTTGTCTCTCCTGAAGTTCAGAGCAGAAAGGAAGAGGGGAATTTTGTAGGAGACACTTTGGATACAACCCTTCTCCCTTCCTTCCTTTCTTCTCTGCTTTTAGCCTATACATTCCAGCTTCCTTGGCCAGTACCAGTCCATGTACTTTAGACTGCAGCTCCCAGAGACAGGTGCTCTGCTACTACAGAGCACCACCCCAGCTCAGACCCAGGGAGAGCAGTGTGGAAACTGCAGCTCAAGGATTAGGTGGGCAGTGGACACAGCACCTGGCTAGTGCATCAGGGAAGCTCAGCAAAAGCAGCCCTTTTGCTTCCTGGCCAGCATTTGCCCTGTGTTCCCTTTGGTTGTGTCCTTCTTGGTCTAGACACATATTGTGCCATGCAAACTCAGTAGCTTGGCTCCTCTGTTAGCTCTTTTGGCAAGATAGATCTTTCTGTTCCTATCAATCCATGGGCATGTGATAGGACTCGATGGAAAGTGAGGTGAGGCTGGTAATTTGACACGACAGCTGATATTGGGTCTTGACTGCATTTCCCACTGGCCAGGGCTTAGCTTCACAGAGCTTTTAAGGGTATTTTTAGTCTCCAGAAAATAAAAGAGAAACTAAACCTGCCTCTGTGTGCTGTCGCCTCTGCATACTCGGCTATTTTTACTTCCGACAGTCTCGGCCTGGGTCCAGCTTTTAAAAAAAGATGGAATTATTTTACTTCCATTAAGAAAAAAACCCCAAGGCCTGATGTTATCAAGTCGGTAAGGGGACATCTGATCCCAAAGTTGTCGGGCAGACGTCTCTCCAAGGGGCATGTCAGAGAAGTGCAGGCAGCTTGAAGGATCAGCAGATCAGCTCTCCCACTGCAGAGGCTTGGTGCTGGCACAGACCTCTGCAAGTGTGCTTGGAACACGAGTGGCACCCACAGGACACTTAGAAAACTGACGTCCCTGCCCCGGCAGGATGCCGAGCTGAGATGTCCTGCACGAGTCCTGGCCCTGCCCTGTCCCAGGAAGGAGCTTGGGCAGGCAGGGGAGCTGAGAACAAGCTCTGGGGGAGCTGGAACTCAACCCCTGGGGTGTACACCAGGGTCAGCTCCATAGCTAGGTCAGATGAAGGGGACTTTTATGCAGGGTCTCTCAAAAGGTAATGAAATTGAATGAACAGCAGCAGTTTCTTGCCATACAGGGGAATGGGAAGAAAGGGCATGTTTCCAGAATAGATAGCCTTAATTTGAAGGAACTGCCAGCAAGATAAGTTATCAAGGGGTGGTGCTTTCCAAACTTTGTCCTATACTGTTGATCTCAACTCCTTGCTGACACAAAGTGGGGGTCCAGGAGTGCCTGTGGTGGTGACATTTTTGTACCATGTCTTCTCTCCTTTGAACTGGCCAGTTGTGATTCATGTGAGCATGGGGTTTGTGCAGGAGCTTTATTTTGCTGCTGTCTTGTTGTGAGGCTGCAATCCTCTGTAAGTCTTGAGTATGGACAGCTGCATCTCATGCATGGCTGCTGCACCTTGCAGTTAGTGCTCAGATGGCTGCACATGTGGTGTGAAACCTGCCCTTGTGGTTACAGTGTACGTGCCCCTCAGCTTTGCTCTAGCCCTCTCTCTTTCGTATTCCTTTTCCTTACATTCTCTCACTTCCATTCATATCCCAGCTTACATTCCCCTCCACTTCTTCTCTGCATAGTGTTTTCCTTCATGCTGCTTCTTTGAGCTCCCCCACCACACCTCCCTACTCCATTTTAATGTTTGTCCTTTAGTGTCCCTCTCAGAGCTGCACTGTAACCAGCCTGCCTGTCTTAAAATCAACCACAGAGGAAATCAAGCAGAACAGCAGGCATTAACCTGAGTACCTAGATACCACAGGTACTGATTTTTGGCCATGCTCTTTCCTTCCATCTAGATATGACTCATTAGGCTGTCAGATCTTTAGAAAAAAGGATTGTACCGTGATGCTTATGTCTGGAGTGTCACAGCCAGGGACTTGGAGGGTTGAAATGCTTTTGTTTACTGTAGTCCCTGTCACTGTAGGCTACAGTACCTGTAGTCACTTCACTCAGCAGCTGGAGCTGGCATGTGCTGTGGGGGGCTCAGCCTGTTCACCAGCTCTGCGGCTGGAGCGATGATGACAGGGTAGAATTGTGGCTCTGCAAGTGCTGATTGAAAACGTTTGCCTCAAGGAGTGTCACAAGGGAAGGGGAACAAGAGGAGGACAAACACTTGTTCAAAATTAACAAGCTGAAGTCCTTGGGCAAACAGACCTCTATCTGCTCAGTAGGAGAAGGAGGGATGGAGGGTAAATCTCTCTGCGTCTTTCTTATCTTTTTTTAATGCACTTAAGTCCCTTGTGTCCTTATAATCTGATTGAGGGTCCCTAATACTGCTGCAACCTGTGCAGCCATTTCTCTGCCAAGCACAGGAGGATGGCATTCTCCTTGGGAGGAGGAAACAGGCTCCTTCCCCCATTTTCTCCCTACTCCTCCTTGTTCCCCCTCCTGCTGCTTAGCAAACTGCACAGCAAAAGCATCCTGGAGGGCTGTGTGTTGGTTTCTGCCAGCCGAGAATGGCATCTCACTCTTTCCCTCCCCCTGACCACTGGTGTGAGGGAATGCACCCACCTATGATCCTTATCTGGGAGGGTCCTGGGAAGATGTGATTCAGTCCTAAATCTTGGCAGCCTGTTCCTCTATAATCTTCCAACAGTATATCCCTGATCCTTTTATTTTTCATACCTGGTGGTTTTGTTTACTGGCAGTTCCAGAAATTTGTGTCACTCCCTTCTCTCCTGGCTTATAGGTAGCTGTCATTCATTCAGCAAAGCATGGAGTAGGGTCTTATTTCTTAAGAAACCAAGGCATGTTTATGGAGGGAAAGAAATCATGTATGGAAGTGAAAATTTCCTGCTTCATCCTAGATTTTATTACTGCTGTTCCTTAGGGATCTCCCTAGATAACCTCAGGTTTGGGATTCCCTGGCTGTCCTTTTTGAAATTGCTCTCTGAAGTGTGTTTGGGCTCCCAGGAAGGAGTCTTGCCCACAGGCTACCTGCCACTGGAAATGGAAGTAAAAGAAGCAATAGGCATCATTTTCAGAAACAATACCATGTAATGGAAGAGAGGTGGTACTTAGGGATGTCTGTGAATTCTCTATACAGAGTAAGAAATAGAAAATGGGGCAGGGGAAAGAAATTACTCAGTGTGACCTGAGTTCACCTACTTCAGCTTCATACCTTCCTCTCCATCTTCTCCAACACCTGCTGTCCTCCCATAGCAGCCACCCACAGCAGCAGCTCCCTTGCTGTGCAGAGCTCCACTCCTGCTCATCCCTGCTTCTCCTGCTCAGTGTGAGATCCTGCTGCCAGACTGAGTGTTGTTGGCCTGGTATTCTTGTTGCTTAGGGGGCAATTGGTAGTCAGATTGTTATGGTGCTCTAGCCATGAAGAGTATCGGGATCTAGATGTTGTTGCCAGTAGCGGTTTCAGGTGGTGCAGGTGTGGCTGGTGTGAGCATCACAGTAAAAGCTTTATCTTTTCCCTGACAGAGTAAGCAAACATGGCATTGAAATGCAGTGTGACAGACATGCCTCCTTCTAGGGTAGAATATTTGCCAGCTGACTGCAGATTTTTTCAGGTGTACTGGTTGTTCAAAAAGTGTCATTTCAGAACTGATGTGGAGTGTTTGCTTTTAGTTGTTTGTGTTTATGTAGTGGTATGATTGCAAAATATTAATGACTTAATGTGATTAGTAAGTGTATCACATAATTGCTTCCCATGATCAGACTAGATAAACTCCTGTGTGTTTCTAAGGAAGTACTTGTATAGTGTAAATTTAAAATTTTATTCTAATCAAATGCTCCTTCATTTACCTTGAAAGATTTTTTTCCCAAAGCTGTTTCTCCCAGCAAGACTGAGTTACTGTAATTTCACAGGCTGATTATTAGAGTGCATATGGCTGCTCAGAAAAAAACAGACAACTGCACAAATATCTGTAGGGGTTTTTTCACAGTTTCTTTTTAACATCGTACTTTATACTAATATGACAACTTAGTTGCTGTTCCTGGTCTATTGATGATGCTATGGTTTTTAGTGTGGTGACAATCACTGGTACTTCCCAGTCACTGTGAATTTTTTCACTATACTTTGCAAGAGTTGCAACAAATTCTTCAGTGTCTCCCTACTTCGTCTTTATCATTCCTTTATTGTAGTCAAGGTTGTTTCTATTTATTTGGATTCTACTTTTATTACAGTTGCCTTACTTGATCAAGGCTGAAACATCTTTGTTGAATTCATAGTTCATTATCTGTTTGCTATAGGTTGCCTTTTTCAAATATAAACAGTGAGAAGTCACAGAACATTTAACATCTCATTTTTAAGAACAGTTTAAAAGCTTACTTTTATAACTGCTAGCTTGATTTCTTTTTAAAAGCAGGATCCTGTAGAGGGCATTGAGTTGTGAAACTTTTCATTTGCCCATCACATTTATAGTGATTCAAGAGTTTGAATAGGTTAATTTGTATGTTCATTAATGTTTTGAATAAAAGTAAAGCTCAGAGCAGCATGCTTAGAGCTGGAGGCAGTCTAGCTGGTATTGAGATTTATGGGCTCAGCTGAGATCTCACTTGAGATCTCTCAGATCTTCCCTCAGGGGAGAGGGAAGCTCCCTAGTGTGTGGGGAACCATCTTACTTAGCAAATTTTAGTGTTTGCATGTCAGGGTTCTGTAAGGCACTAAGGAATCATGAGGACTTTTTGGTTTTACCTGCAGGTGTTCGTCTGGATCGAGTCCGTGGAGGCCGTCAGAAATACAAAAGGAGACTGGATTCTGAGAGCAGCACTTACCTGAGCTTACAGATCCCTCCCCCAGCTAAAAAGCCATGTATGTATTGGTCTTGGATTGTGGTCCTCTAAGCTGTCACTGTATTTCTTTTCACTGGTCTCCCAAAAGTACAGTGTAGCAATTGTCACTTCCAGTACCTGTATCAGTCAACAGTACTGGAACTTTTTCTTAGGATTGTAGTGTATAGGTAATTAGACAGGCCTAGGTAGCTCAGGTACTGTATTCTTTGTACCTAAGGTTAAATACCAGACCTTTCCTAGGAGATTATGCAAATCCATTTAGTGATATTGTGATCTTTTCCTTTACCCCAGCCATGTTAGCAAAGCCAGTCCCATGCTGATTATTTTCTTCAATACTACCTATGACTCGTTAAACTTTTCCACATCCCAACAACTTTTTGCTTATACCTCCTTCTCCCCTCAGTGGACCTACCTGAGACAATGCCTGACAACATTACAGCAGCTTCCTGCCTTTGTCATCCGTGTGCAGAGCTGGTTTGTCCTAGGCATTTCACTACAGCTTGTGTAGCTGCAGTCTGGTTTTCTGTTGAGACCAAAACTGTTACTGAGGTCCTAGGGGCTCTGTAGTCACATCTTATCCCAGGAGGATTCACTTTTATGTCACAAAAATGACATAAACTACAACAACTTCTCCTTTGAAATGTGCAGTGACTAAGATCGTCTCCCACTTGCTGGTGGCTGAGCCAGAGAAGATTTATGCCATGCCTGATCCAACCATGCCGGAGAGTGACATCAAAGCCCTGACAACCCTCTGTGACCTGGCAGACAGGGAACTGGTGGTGATCATTGGCTGGGCAAAGCACATCCCAGGTAAATGGGGAATTACAAGGGTGTAAGCATGAACAGCAAAGGGAACTATTGTTTATCTACGTGCCTATCTGTTTTGGTCTCAACGAGGACTTTTTCCTATAGTGATGGGTGGAAAGTACTGTTGGGTGGGTGAAAAATACTGCTAGTGATGGGCTCTCATTGGTAACAAACTCCAGTGCAGCCTGTGATGGAGGTGCATAAATTGATCACTGTACATGTGTGTGCCCTGGGATTATGCAGAAGGCTTTGACATGATACCATGAAGTTCTCTGTCATATCTGGCATTGAGTGAAAGTGCCAGTGAAAGCACTTGGGAAACAGCCTTAGGGATGCTATGGTGGACTTGCACTTGTAGTTTTGCACTACATCAACATGATCTAGGTCTGTTGTGTTCATAGCTGAATAAATATTATGGCAGTGACTGGACTTTATTGCTAATAACAAGGCAGATACACACCCTCTCAGCAGTGGGCATTCTTGTCCACACTCGGGAAATCTTGTCCTAATGGATTTGTGACAGAACAAATCCCATTGTGATGGACGATGTGCTATTGCCAGTGAATCTCAAGGCTTCTTCGTTGACAAATAATGAGGACAATTTACTGGCAGTGTGACTGGCCTTGGAAGGCTCATTGACTATATACAGTGTGTGTCTGTGTGACAGAGTGACATAGCAAGTGTCCCACACCTGCAGGTAGGGTGGACCTAGACTGAAGGAGCAGATGTGGTCCTCAGTGTTGAATTATGGGTTCTTCCCAGATTTGGATTGGGAAGGGAAAATGCTCCCCTTTCTCTAGTTTCTCTCCAGCCCCACCAGAAACAGGTGGAATTTTTGTGTGGAGAAGGCTAATCAGGGAACTTAGAGGATATCCTTGGGATTTACAAGGATGCTTTCCAAAGATTGCTTCAGAAATTCACTATGAACAGCTCGCTAAAGTGGTTTATAAACAGCTCACTTCAGCTATCTCCTGCCTTCTGTTCCCCTTCCTTTTGTCAGGAGAATATATGAGGCTCTGATACAGGATCACAGGATTTACTGCATGCTGACTGTCTTCCACTGCATGGGTCTGTGTTGTTTTGCTTTGCTTCTCGGCTTTCTTAATTATTTTTTTTTTATGAAGCATCTTAACATATGTGATCAGACAGTTTAGTTTGCCCATGTATTTTGTTTCTTTCTATTGCTCCTCTTTTGGCTTTTTGGCAGCTGCTTCTCTTTTTCTGTGGAGTGTTTCTCCTGGGACCCAAGAGTTAATGGTTTAATGGGCTATATGGAATATGGCTTGTTATGAGATGGGACTCTGAAGTGTGAAGAAACATTTTCAGGACAGTATTTCTGAGAAGAGGTTAATCTTGGTGGTGCCCTTCTTACATGAGATCTGCCATATCTGCAGGGATTATACCCATCACTAGTGCTGGAATCCACCTGGGGCTGATTCATCACAAGTGGTGATTAGAGAACTCAGCCTGGATTGCTCTACTAACCCAATACCTGGCGTGTTAACAGGAATGGTTTTAATGCAGTTAGCTCAATTAGCTGCTGTGGCTGTCCAGTGAGGTGCTGTTGTACATCCCTCTAACCTTGGCTACATCTGTTCACACAGAGTGCCCTACTGTAGTTCCCTACCTTGTAGCTGGGGGAAGAGCCAAATTCCTACAGGGTTTTCCATCCTGGCAATACTGTCCCAGAACAGGAGCATAGTAGATTGCTCCTGCACTGTGCAAGGGGCTCTCCCTCTCCTTTCTGAAATCAGGACATACCTGCCATCACCTCAAATTTCTCTGTGTATTTTCCTCTCCTGTCAAAGGCCCTACAACACAGTAACAGCCACAGTAACCAGCCTGGCACAGTTCAGACCAGCAGGAGTATTTTATAACAGGACTGTGCACAGGCGAGAGCTCAGGAATTGTTACATAAGAAAGCAGTACTGAGAAAAAAAGATAATAAAAGACAGTTCATAATAATGGAACAAAAACTCTGTAGTTCTGCAACAAGTTTGAAACATACTGAGTTATGCAGCAAGGGGGCAGAGCAGGGCAGGGCCAGGAGAATGCCAGGTGTCTAAATTATCTATGCCCTGTATTTCTGCCTTCCAAGAATTTTGAGCAAAACATGACATTGCTTCCTTTGTGCATAAACTATTCTTCAGAGAAGGATGGAGAAAGGAGAAAAAGTCACATAATCCTGCCTTGTATTCATGCTGGAATTAGTAAAGAAAGATGTGACATTAAAGTCATACCAGCCCTGAAGGATCCCAGGTGTCAACACAAACTTCTACCCCACAGTATTAGCAAATAAAATCAGTAAAACTTAAACACACTTTCCTATGATAACAATAAAATGTGTTTAATCGTGTTTAGCAAATGTTATTAGCTCAACAGCCTTATTAGCCATGAGCTCAAAAGCCACACAACCAATGTGGGGTTGTTCCCTTCTGTATGAGGCCCCCTCCCCACTACTCACTCTCCCCACCATGGAAATTGTCTTGGAACAACATCCTCCTTTTCTTCTTGCTTTGATGCAGGCTGACAGGACTTCTCTTGAGGGGTGATGATGAAGGCTCTCCCAGGGTAGCTGTTGTGCTGTTCTCACCAGGAAGACATTAGTACTAGCACAGAATGAAATATGGCTAGTGGAGTGACAGCAGCTGTGTCTGGAGTGGCCTCAGATCCTATAATTACATCTCCTTTTATTACCTCTGCTAATGGCCCTCCAGGATGACAGAAATGATAATAAATTAACAGATTATGAACTCCACTTGCCACAAATTATGTGATTTTTTTTTTTTTTTTAATTCTGGGAGCTCCCACTGCCAAACCACTGAAATAATAATAAAAAAAATTAAAATTAAAAAAAACCCCAACCTGAATGTCACATCAGCAGTTGCAAATAAAGCAGCTTTTCTCAAGGTGTACCTGGGAAGGAGGGAAACATGCATGCAGCTCTGTGCTAGAGCTAGGGGCTCTCTTTTGGGGCAGTGGTGGATTAGGCACCTTTCAGGGTCACGCTTGAGAAGAACAGCAAGAAACTGATCACTAAGGACATTTTCTGGATGCTGGGCCATCAACAGCTCAAGAATGCAAAATAGTTGTACTCTAGCAATTCCTGGGAGCTGTAGGATGACAGAAAATTTCACAACCAGAGGTTCCCCAGTGTTACAATCCTATAATAAATAGCAAGCCTATGATTTCGGCCAGGTGAAATTAACATTTACTTTCCCTGATCTCAACTTTTACAGCATGAAGAGAGTTCTATAATTTCCCCTTTGCTTCAGTGATTCAGGGACAGTCCTTTAGCCTTTGCACTCCACATGTGTGAACGCTGGAGGAAAAGGGTCCCAGTTCTGTCAGACATTTCAAGTCCAGGCTTGACACCACAGTGCTTCCTCTTCCCACTCGTCTGCTGGAGCTGGAGTTGTTGGCTACCTGGGAGTGCTTCTGGCCAGGGGCTTTCCCAGGTGGGTGGGAATTGCAGCTGCTCTTCTGTTCTTCTTGGCAAAGGGTAAAATATGGTATCTCCTGTTCTCACCTGCCACAACAGCCTCTGGGAAAGGGCAATTAATGGAAATGCTGTGTGTACTGGCTACTGCTAGAGTTAAATAAATTTTTCTACTTTATTCTGTAGCAGAAAAGTACGAGCCATGCCTGTCCTGGATATTTTCACTCTACTGCATGACTGTTCCTCAATCTTTCAGAAATGTTGTTGGCATTGTGAGGGGCAATGGTCTAATGCCTTTTGTAATCCAGATGGGGAATGAAGATGCAGAAAGGCCAGGTGACTGATCCAGAGAATGGACTTAAGGCAGCAGCCTAAATGCTGGACTTATCTCCATGGTCAGGAGCTAGGAGAGGGATGACCAAAGGAGAGATGTCAGGCTTTAAAGAGTGGAACAGTGGCTGTGCACCTTTACTCTAATCTCAGGGCTACTCTCAGCATCCTGTGCAGCAGGCAGAGCTGTGGACACAGGATCCCCAGCATTGGAGCTGCAGCAGCCTGCACTTGGACTGAGTCAGGAGCGCTGCATTCCAGAGCAGCACAGTTCTGAGTGCAGGGCATAAGGGTAAGGTAAAGGACAAGACACCCACCTCCCAGCCCAGGCAAGAGGTGGGATTCGTCAGGGCTATGTGGAGCACAGGCTGTGCTGTACAGGAATCACTCTCACAGCCAGGGAGCTGGATTTGCTGCTCTTCTCCCCAGTAGCTTGGACTCCTCTTTAGCTGTTCCCTCTGGCACTCCTCCCCAATGGTTTATTGATTCTTCCCTCCCACCCACTGCTCCCCTCAGACCTTGCACACACAGCACGTGACAGCTGATTGGTATCTGTTAATTAATGTGGCCTGGGGCCTCTTTTCTATTCAGTGGCCTGATAAGGGAAATTGGATGTCCAAGGGCTGCCAGGCCATTATCACCCTTTGCTTCCCCTGGCAACACAAACACAAAACATGGCGTAGAGATAAATAAATACCACTAACCCACCCTTCTGCCTTCCCTTCCCCAGCTGAGATAGTGCAGATAGAAAAAGAGATCCCACAGTCAGTCAATATAGCAATCATCAGGTCTTTTGTTAATTGCCAACTTGATAACAAGAGAAATCAAATGATCATCATGGTGGCTGTCTACATAAGCCCCGATGTGGGGCCAAGAACTGTGAGCAGGGTGTGGTATGGGATGAAGAAGTCCAGCTGAGCCTTGCATGCAGCCAGTGGAGCTGGGAGGCTTCTGCAGAGAGGCTCTTGAGTTCACAGGTCTCTTGGTGATCCCCAAGGCTTCATATGCATCTGGGGAGAAAATGCCTGGAGAGGCCAGTAGAGCATCACCCTTCCAGCTGAGGCATGCCTGGGTGTCCCATTCTTTCACAGCCCTAGGAACTGCTGAAAGCAAGGGGCTGCCAAAAAAAGTACAATTTCTGCCTGTCCATGGTGGGCAAAAGCTGCCTAGGGAGGACCAACACACTGTGCTTGACATTCCTGTTTGTAATGGCTGTTAGAGTGCCCATCTCCCAGGATCTTTCATTGCCTGACCTTCAAGGGTACCAGGTATGGAGGGCATAAAGACAGTTTTCCTTCCCACACACTTTTTTCCCCACCTTAAGGTGGACATTGCCTCTGTTTTTTGTCCTCTCCACTCTCTCAAGTGGACTCGGGCTGTCAGGATCAGGCTGTCAGGCTCTTTCTGTATTTGGCAAGAACATTTGATTCACTGTGGGGGCTTGTTCCATTGCTACCAGGTTTGGCTGATTTAGATACTTCAGTGTCACCACAAAGGTATTTTTATCTCTGGGTAGGGGTGTAGGCAGAGCTGCTGGGATGGAAATCATAGTGGGATGAGGAATAGAGGAGGAATCTGTTCACAAATGTATTAATTTTTGAACACATTTTGGTGCTTTGTTGTAGCAGGACTTTCTCTCATCTTTGCCAAAATGTGAGATTGTAGTATACTTGTAATTCAGACCTGTGTCATTCCTTCCTATCCCATCAGAAGCCCTCTTTTCTGCCATCTGGAGCTCTTCTCTGCTCATTTTTCAGCTGGGACAGACTAAATGGGTTGCAATACAGACCTGCTGAGGAAGCGAGGGAAGGCAATGTGGTACAAAAGAGTTGCTGCTATGAAAGAAGCAGTGGTCATTGAAGAGATTGAAGAGGTTTGCTGCTATGAAAGAAGCAGTGGTCATTGAAGAGCTTGCCACCAACCTTGGGCTCCCATAAATCAGAGCATCAGAATTCCTGTTTGAGGCTGTGGGTGGGCATAGGAACAAAGAGAAGGGTAAGGTCCATGTGTGCTGACTGCCACCAGGACAGGGTCACTTCAGTGAGTTGTTTGGGGTTTTTTAAAACAGCAGGTCAGTAGGGAAGGGTGCATGGTTTGGATCCCAGGGAAACTAAGGACCCTTGTCTCCTAAAGGCTTTGCTGCACACCCATTTGACCCTGCTTGTCTTTTGCCCTGTTAGGGTTCTCCAACCTGTCCCTTGGCGACCAGATGAGCCTTCTGCAGAGTGCCTGGATGGAAATTCTCATCCTGGGCATTGTGTACCGCTCCCTGCCATACGAGGACAAGCTGGTCTATGCTGAGGACTACATAATGGATGAAGAGCACTCTCGTCTGACAGGGCTGCTGGAGCTCTACCTGGCCATCCTACAACTGGTGCGCCGCTATAAGAAGCTCAAGGTGGAAAAGGAGGAGTTTGTCACACTCAAAGCTCTGGCCCTCGCCAACTCAGGTACAGCCCTGGCCCAGCCAGTCTTGCAACCAGCCAGTCAAGGCTCATGCTCTTATTTAGCTGGGAGGAAACCAGAGCCTGCTGCCTAAGAATCTCTGCCTGTGTCATGCAACATTCTCAAAGCTCAGTTTGTCACACTCAAAGCTCTGGCCCTCGCCAACTCAGGTACAGCCCTGGCCCAGCCAGTCTTGCAACCAGCCAGTCAAGGCTCATGCTCTTATTTACCTGGGAGGAAACCAGAGCCTGCTACCTAAGAACTCTGCCTGTGCCATGCAACATTCTCTAATGTTCATACTCTTAGCTGGAAAGCAGGGAGAAATGAGGCTTACTGCTGCTAGAGCCCCAGCTGTGCTCTGACCCTGTAGTGGGGAGTGGAACAGACAGGGATGGACTGGTTGCTGGTTTCAGGCAATAAAAGGGTATGTGGAGGCCTTTTCCACTAGCAAGCTAACTCCAGTGCCATGAACTCAGAAATGGAAGCCACACTTGCATCATACTCCATAGTGTTGGTGAGATACAGCGAACAGGGAAATTCTCATCCCATTTCAAAAAGCTGTGGGGCTGGGGCTGCCTGGCTGCCTGGGGATGTTGAGGTACCAGAGACACTGAATCCCCCTTTAACTGGGACACAGCATGGATGTAGACTGCAGCCCTCAATCCAGCAAGGCTGCATTGTATCAAGGCCAGCCAGACACAGATTTGCTCAGGAGTCCCATCTGAAAGGGAAACTGCTGAAGCTACTGTGTAACAAGGGCTCCCTCTACATCCCCCGAGTCTCATTGTTTCACATCAGATCTCTTTGCCAAATTTGCATCATGCAGGTCACAGAATTCACCCTTGCAGCCCAGCCCTGAAACCAGTATCTGTTTTTCTGTAAAGTGGCTGAAACCAGCCACTTTACAGAAAAACAAGGGAAACTGCTGAAGCTACTGTGTAACAAGGGCTCCCTCTACATCCCCCGAGTCTCATTGTTTCACATCAGATCTCTTTGCCAAATTTGCATCATGCAGGTCACAGAATTCACCCTTGCAGCCCAGCCCTGAAACCAGTATCTGTTTTTCTGTAAAGTGGCTGAAACACTTTACAGTAAAGTGGCTGAAAATACTCAGCGTGAAGCTGGAAGGATTAAAAGGGGAGAATCTTCATCTTGCTTGGCAGCTGACTCCAATAATTAATCATTCTCTCAGTTAAAAGAAAAAAAAAACCAACCTCCCCCACCCAAAAAAAAAAGGCACCATATCTTAATGTCTCTTTGCTTGAGTTCAGCCTCTAAACTAAAGAATGATCTTTGTTGAGCTGGGTCCTATGACTCCGGGTCTTTTTATACCTGACAGCTTGACATGACAAACTTCCTGTTCCATAGCTGTGTTCCTTGGCTATGGATGTATTACTGTGAGGCTGCCTCACCATTTTACACCATTCTGTCCCTGTTTGCCATCCATCCACTCCTTAGCAATAGCAATATAAAAGAAAAGAAAAATCCTTACAGCTCATTGATAAAAATGCTGAGTAGCAGCTGATTTTTCTACTGATCCCTGTGGATTTCCATGAAAAAACTCCTTCTTGAGGGATGATTCACCACTGATAGCTACTGGGAGATCTGTCATCTATCCAGTTACTAATCAATTGAAAGTGTCCTTTATTGATATTGCATAGTGCTAATTTTTTAATGAGAATGTCCTGTGGTCCTAAGCCAAGTGCTTTATAAAAACATAAGTCTATTATATCTGTGCAGTTAACTTTATCAACCAAACTTGTAATCTCATCAGAGAATGAAATCAAGTTTGTTTGACAAGACCTCTCTTCTCAAGTATCATGTTGACTGGCAGTAAAATCACAGAATCATTTATGATGGAAAAAACCTTTAAGATCACCACTTCCACCTGTTAACCCAGCACTGCAAAACTATGTTCCTAAGTGCCACATTTACATGTCTTATAAATGCCATCTTATTAGTCTTAATTGAATGTCACCTTTATTTTTTCCTTTCTTTTGCCCTGGTTCACATCAAACTAGCATAGTAATTACCAGGTAAGACCTAGGAAATTATATGCATCATTAGAACGTATCCAGTCATCTTGAATTTTGTAAAAATACCAAGACTTACTAATCATTAATCTGCCCTGGATGACCCCCAGCCAGCAATTTTGGAACTCTTAAAACCAAGTTATCCAGCTCTACTGATTGCTGTGAAGTTTGTTCTAATAGTTCTAATGTCTTCCCTCATAAACAACAGATTATGAAGTCTTCATCACCTTCATATAACACAGTATATAAAGCTTCTCTTTTCCAAATAAGACAGAAGTACTCACAGAGGACTTCTATCTACTCTGCACTGCTATTAATAGGTTATTCATCTCCAGCTGAAAAGAGCCCCCCTAAAAATGATCATTTTTCTTCTATTCCTTAAATATTTATAAAACTTCTTTACTGTCCTTATCCCTTCTAGACGTGGCTTTTCCTCTTATGTCCTTCATTTCCCTTATGTTCTTCTGCACTTCATAACTTTATTCCCTTTTTCAGTTTCTCAATAGTGCTTTTTTAGTTTTAATTGCTGCCTTCACTTTGCCACTGAACCAGGATGGGCAGATGGCCAAGGCTGTCCTCTCTCCTCTGTGCAGTGGTGGCTATGGGTGATATAATCAACTTGTTAAAGAACCTGTCTGCCAGGAGGGTCACAGGACTAAACAGGAAGAAGGGCTCCTCAGAGAGGCTGAAGTGCTAAGGTAGCAGTTGTGACAGGAGAAGTGCCACACTGGGACATTTACCTGGCCCGTGCTCTGGACACTGCTGTCAAGTTCTTCACAGTGCAACAGAAGCACTCACTGCTGTTGTTGCTCACTGAGCTTTCAGGACTCAGCCCAGAGTAAACCTTATGAGACAGTCTCCACAGGAGTGGAGTAACACTGAGCAAAGACAGAGCAGAACAACCAACACTCATCAGATGCTTTGGGTTCCATTTCCAGTGCTGTGGAGTAAAGAAACCCAGGTAAGGGTCAGGAGGCACAGGCCAAAGCATGTTCTCAGCTGGATGGAAAAAAATCACTCTGACTTCACTGGTTTCTCTAGTGCAGCTAGATGTGTAGCTATGTAGAAGCATAATCCACAAAAGTTCTGCTTTGTTATTTGTATTGAAACATACGAAAGCAAAGCATGGGATTTTGTTTTTCATGAAATTAAAGCTTCTCGTGACACACAGGTAAGGAAGCTGGAATAGGGCAAGTGTATTTTTCTGTTGTAACTTAACATTGAACCTTCACATTCTTTTAATGCCAGTTATTTTTCTTAGTGTATTTTTGACAGGGATAAACTTACAGAGCCTGCATGTGTGTGCTTGCATGCAAAGAGCCAACTCCTAAAATGGGAGGAAAGCAGTTTGGGCCAGGCTTCAGCTCCCTTGGATGAGAATGAGAGATAGGGCTTAAAGATGAACACCTAGATTAACACCTGTGCTGCCTGAAACTGCTTTCTGCCTTCCCTCCCACACAGATAAATTCTGGCTGTAATTGCTCATGCAACCCAAGTTGTAGGGGCTTACACAGCCCTGTGTATACTGACCCTTTGGTTCTAGGGATTCAAACAAATGAAAACAGAAGTGGGAGCTCCCTCACTCTTTACTAGAGAAGAAGCTGACAGTAGGCTGATCTCCAAGTCCTTGGTGTGATGCACCAACAACACAGCTGCTGGGATTGGCAAAGATAATTCAAGGGATCTCTGTCTAGTAAGTGCATTCTAGAGAGCTGAATTCCTAATTCCCAGAGCAGCAGGCAAGTCCCAGACAATATGATCACCCATTTTTTGACAGAGTAGAGGTGATGTAGACCTACCTTGTTACCCTTCAGAGTCAGCAGTCCATTTTTAAGGATTCCTAGGTCCTCTTTCCTTAGGGAAAAAAAAAAAGATCAGTCTACATATTGAGGAGCCCTCTAGGTTAGCATGCAGCACACATTCATTTTAGGACATTCCAGAGTGGCCAAAATTTATTTCCCCTTTTTTTTCTGAAATGCATTTTAATGCTAAGATGGAGTGAGCAATGTCTGGACCTGGCAAAGGGATGCATAGCAAATTCTGTACTGATGGGTCCTCTGAGGTTCCCGTTCCTGTCAGAAGCTGCAAGAACTGAGGTGAGGAAGCAGTGGGCCTTGTCCATTCTCACACCTGCCCTGTACCCCATGCCAGCAGTGCTGGAGAAGGGCTTCTGCTATGAAGCCCAGCTTCTAGGCCTGCTGACCCTCAGGGACATGGTCAGGCAGCCTGCCCCCACCTCAGTGCTCTGATAGCTGTAAAAATTCATAGCTATTGATTTCGTAATTAACAGTTTATCAATGCCATTGACACCAGTTCACTGATGGATTGCAGGGAAATTAATCCTGCAATGTTGTTTTATTTTTTGCAGTCAGCTGCCAATTTTGAGCTTCTTTCAGCAGAGTGTGGTGGGGGTGGGGCAGGCTTTGATCTTTATTTCCCCAGTTTCTCTCACTGTATACGCTTAGTTTGCTGTTAAGTCTTGTCACCTCACAGAAGCCAGATGGTGGAAGGGCAGTTTTGGGATTCTGTCTAGCGTACAGCAGCATCAGTGCCCAAAAGTAGAACACCCACTTTACCCTGAAGCATGGCTCATTGCATGGTAATTCTAGCATCTGCTGGGATCTGCAAACTCCAAAAGGCTGTGGTTACTTCTCCCCCTTGTGCCCCTAGCCAGAAGGACATTAAACAGAAAGGAGAGAGGACATTCCAGCTTTTGATACTTCCAGTCTTCAAAATGACCTCTGTGACTTGGCAGGAAACAGATCCTGCTCACTTCTCTTGGATTGTGTGTGGAAATTTTTCAGAGGTGCTACCTGGCTGGGAGAAGTTGCCAGACTGACTTGGCAACATGCTTCTTCCTCCCTACTTTTCAGAATCAACCTCTGTGTCTGGTTCAGGTCACTGTGATGACCTAGCAGCCCTCTTCTGAGCTTCTTTGCCTGGTCTCTTGGATAAAAAGTGTAAATGTATCAAGAATTGTTCTTCAGTAGGCTTCTTGGGAATACTTCCCTTTAATACTTTCTTAATTAGTGCATTCCCTCTAAACAGCTTCTTAAACAGCTTTCTTGCTAGACATAATATTTTCCCAACTGTTGTAATACTTTATAAATCATGCATCATAAATAGGATTTTTACCATAAATGTATCATACAAAATTCACAGTCTCTAATTTTTGTTGTGCTCTCCATAAAGATGACACATGTTTCTAGAGAGATTTTGGCACTTCAGTTAGCTTTCCTCCTCTTCCCTGCTGGCACTCTGGGGAACCCTCACATTTGTGTTTGTGTGTAGGCTGAGACTGCACTGAAACTACTTTGCCACAAAGCAAAGCCCAGGCTGTGATGGTAGGCGGTGCAATTACATGTGTGCATGTGTTCTTGCCATACTGTCTCTTTGCCATTGCTTCTGATTTGTTGCCTTGTGTCAGGAACCTTTACCAATAGGTTCAGTATTGATTAAAAGTCTCTGAACAATGAAGACGAGGCATCAGTGTCTCCGTCTCTGTCATGGTTGTAAGAAGGAAGCATGTATCAGCAAGATGAAAAAGGAGAAAATCTTTGGTGATGCTGGGCCTCTCTGCTCTTTGGTGCTGCCCTGTCACACCATGACTTACCCACAAGTTTAGCAGTCTGTGTTCAGTCTGGTTCCCTATCTCAGCCCTGGACTGGGTCCTTACCAGCTAGCTACATTCACTTCACAGACACACCAAGGAGCCTTGCAAACCCTGCTAACCCCTCCAACAGCTCATAGAAATCTAACTGGCAGCCTAAGGGAAGAGGCCTTGCAGGAGGCGTGGGTTTCCTTTATTTCAGCAGGAAGCTCCTTGAGCAGCTGCTGACAGTCTCTGAAAGCAGGGGCATATGCACAAAGGTGGGTCTGGCAACACCCCTGGGCACACTGGTTGTGACCTACTGGGGCTTTTCTGTCTTGCTGACACCCTTAGCAGCTGCACAGCAATTAGGCAGTTTAGACAGATGAAGCGCTGTAGCAGTGTTAATTATTCTTAATGAGATTGCTCCCAAGCGGCAGCACAGCAGCTGCTGCCCCTTGCAGGGTGACTCTCCCCATAAGGAGCATGGAGGGCAAGGGAAAGTGCAAATCACAAAGGCTCCTGCCTGACCCCTGCATTGCATTGGGGTGGCTGGCAAAATGGGCAGCACACATTGCACGTGTGTCACCCACCTACCCCTGGCAACCCTACTGTCCCTGCACTGCTAGGGCCAGCACACTGGGCTGCTGCCAAACTTCATGCAGCAGCACCACACCTGACAACTAGCTGGATTTTGGTTTTTTCTGCTTAAGAAACAAACCAAACAATGCCCTTCACCCCCTGCCTGGCGGGGGTAGGACGACAAAAACAACTCAAAAAAACCCCACAAGAACAGATAAGAAGGAAAGAAAACATCATTAGCTTCAGAATCGTAAAGGATTTCCTTTCTCCTGTCTGACTTGTCTGTTTGCTGTCTTTTCTCCCTCACCCCAGACTCCATGCACATAGAGGACATGGATGCAGTGCAGAAACTCCAGGACCTTCTCCACGAAGCCCTGCAGGACTACGAGCTGAGTCAGCGCAACGAGGAGCCCCGGCGAGCAGGCAAGCTGCTCCTGACCTTGCCCCTCCTGCGGCAGACGGCTGCTAAAGCTGTGCAGCACTTCTACAGCATCAAACTGCAGGGCAAGGTTCCCATGCATAAACTCTTCCTAGAAATGCTAGAGGCAAAGGTCTGACAGCCCCAGCACCAGCCGACAGTGGCCGGGGAACAAACTAGAAACAAAGATGCAGACAATGGAGCAATCCAAACAGCAGCAGCAGCCGCCGCCGGCTTTTATCTCCAATCATTTATTATGGAAGAATTATTTAATGTCTATCTGTCGGCGTGACTGCAGAATCTTGTGTACAGGAAGGGGAAAACTTTTAATCAGTCACCTGTTTCTCTTTTTTTGTTGTTTTCTCTGTGGGAAATACCAGATTATGCTCTTGCACTTGTTGAGGCATCATGGGGGCTCAGCCCCTCTGATCAGTGATGCTCTCAGCGCTGTCCAGGCTGCCTGCTCCCCAGCACCCTCTGGAGGGAGGGTGGGGACAGAAGCAGGAAGAGAGGAAGAATAGAGTCAATATAAACTTTATCTGCTGGTGTTATGAGGGGTCAGTTAGAAAGGGAAGCAGCCGTGGTCCGTCTTTTTGTCACCTTTCTGCCTCTTACCATAGAGTAGGTGCTCCTTTGGAGAACAATGCTGCTGGACCTCTCCTGAACAAAAAGGCTGCCTCCCAGACTCCTCTAACACTTGTACATACAGGCCCCACTTCTTACTGGGAAAGATGCTCCTAACTGTGTAAGATATTCTGCGACTTTGTACAGTGTGTCATTACGCCTGGCTAGTCCCTCCCATGTACAATCCCTGCAGGTCCCTGAAGAGGTAGGATGTATGTCCCTGAGAAAATGCAAGTCTTTCCCAAATGGCAAGAGAAAAGAGCCTGATGTTATGCTTCAGTGCTGGGTTGACTTGATAATCTCCGCATCCTCTCCTATGTGGTGCTAACTACAATTCTTCCACACTTTTCACCCCATAGTGTATCACACCTGCCTCTTCAGCTCAGCTGAGTGCCATTCCCCACCCGTTCCTTGTGGCAGAGAACACAAGGCTTTGTCTGCATGGTTACTGCCCAAGTATAAATACACCCCAAACCAGATCTTTCCTAGACTTCATTAGAGCTATTTGGCTCCACAGAGACTTTAGGCTTATTGCCAAATTCTAGTTAGAAATCAAGGGCACTGCTTTTCAGAGGAGGCAGCTCTAGAGCCTGAGAGATTGCTTTCTTGTGGCAGGCTAGGGAAATAAATTAGAGGATGGCATGAAACCCCTGATATTCCAACTACTGTCTTCCCCTGCCTCATCCCATTATCCTCAACAGCAGGAAAAGAGCTAGCATAGATTATACCTGGGGCTGGTAGGAGGGTCTCTTGCTGATCAGAAAGCAAATACCTGACCTTGAGTTGGTGGGAGAAGAACAGGGGGAGTGTTTATTTACTCTTATGTAACCAGGTTCCTACTGTCTCCAAGACCTGGTTTAGATCTGCTGCCTAAGCCATAACTGCTGCATTCCCAGTAGCCAGAGGGGAATGTAGGTGACTGACAAAACTGACTGTTGGTGTTCTCTGAAACTTTATTTTCTAGGTCACTTAGTTTTAAGCCATCCTGAGGTGACAAAACCTGAGTGTATTCTCTTTTTTTTTTTTGTGGTCAACAGCATGGCACTAGTGGTGAGACAAATCCTCTGATCTACATTTGAGACACCACTAATTCTACTGTGTCTGTTCTCCTCAAGCTTCCATCCCTTCCTGGCTTCCCCAGGAGAAAGGTGGTGTGTCAGAGGAGTAAATTGTCCTCAGGAGGAAGTCTTCCAAACCAGGGTTGAGGTGTGTGATCACAGACACTGGGTGCTTGTTTTCTGCTGGAGCAGAATGTGTCCCAGCAGGGCTGTCAATACTGCAGAACCCTGCCCTGGCAGGCTCAGACACAGGGTGCTGGCATGGTGACCTCTCAGCTCTCATAGCCAGCCTACACCTTGTACTTAAGTTAGTTCCATTTCATTTCCTTTGAGTTCATCCTATGCTACACAGTCACTCATTTTGTATTCACTTGATAAAAGAACTGTCTTACTTCAGGCATATTAGTAAACCACCAGAGACCTTAGGGGCAGAAGGCACATTGGAATTGGGACTCCTGTGCTCACAGCAGTAGCAATCACACAGTAGCCTTGTGCTTCCAGAGGATACTTGTGCTTCTCTCCCCCACTACCTCCCAAAGGCAGCTGGGGAGAAAAGGAGAGGCTTTTGGTTGCACTCATGATCCCTGTACCCACCTGTGACTGAGGGACCAAAGTGAAATGCATGCCACTGTTTCAGAGCCAGCTTGCCATGTGCTGCACTCTGGCAGCTCTTTCTGGCTGTGGTGTAGTTGCTTTCACAGATGTGCTGGGTTGCATTATCACCTGTAAGTTTGACTCACTGGAGCACTGCTGCAATGCTGCCAAGTGCCCCCAGCTGAGCCACAGCACATTGTGTCCCCCTGCTGTGCAAAGGTAGCTGTCCTCCCAAAATGGGTTGAAAAGTTCCTAAGAAGCAATTCTTATTCTGATGGGCCCTGCCAGAAAGGTCACTACTCGCACGCTAACACACTCACCCAATCTCCCCCTTCAAAAAAAAACCCAAACTACCCAAAAACAACCCCAAAAGGCTCTTCTAGCTTTGTTGTATTTTAACTCAGCCTGCTCTCCATAACAGGAAGCTGTCTACAAAACATGATTATGGAGAGCTGCCGAGTTAGCTTCTAGCTCACAGAGACTACTGGCTATTTAGATTAGGGCTATGGGATGGAGGCACCTCCTGCTTTGGCACAGCAATATGAAGATACCAAATACATTTTTTCCAGGAACTTCTTTCTCCATTAAAGCTGCATAATGTTGGAGCCCATCCAAATACTCTCCATTGCTTGAAGATAATATGCAGGGAAATGTTTGCATTTCTTCTGAAATAGGATGGGAAGTGAACCAGACAGTACTTAGGATATATTAAACTCTCTAACCAAGGAATGCAGACTCTTTCCCAGGAACTGGGACGCAAACACCTGTCTAGATTTAACCCTTAAAAAGCTTGTACCATCCTAAGTTGGGAAGCAGATCAGGTCTCTCGAGCCCTTCAAGCAAGTGCAAGAATCACAATAATCTCTTCCCAGTTACTCTGATCTGCTGTGCATCAGTAGTGCTATCACAGTGACACAGCTGAGGAGAATTTCCAGCTACACAATGGGCTGGGATTGCAGAGGAGTGCAGCAGTGTAGTCACCCCAATGCACTTTGAAGTGGGAAATGAAGCTTCAGCAACTGCTTAGGTCTTTGAATGCTCACAGTCTCTTACAAAAAGTCTGGGGATGTGGAAGGTGAGACATGAACTAGGCGATGGGTTTTGGGTCAGTAGTCTTTATGCTGCTCATTTGTACTATAGGATTCACTGAGTCAGTGTCATACAGCTGTCCTTTTTCGTGGGGCAAAAGATGGTGGAGCTTGAGCCTTGGGACACAGATGGGCTCTGTGACAAAGAAAAGAGAAGCAGTAGAGGTAAGCGTATCAGTGACAGTGAATAAACCCATACCAGCAACTACGGTAAAAGCAGCTCCAGCCCCTGATTTGCATGTGTGGATAACAGAAACCATGCACCTGTCAGCTACTACAAAAGGCAGTTCCTCCCAAGTGACCAGCTCTTCTGTTTTGGGCACATTCTTCTCTGGGAACAGCAGTGTCTGACCTGTAATGCAAAACAAATTTCATGGGGATCAATTAAAAGGTAAATTACCACACTGAATTTAGGTTACTAGGGAAACTTGGGCATTACACCTCGCAGCAAAACTGTGAAGCTACAAGAAACATCCCCACAACAATCAGAACCTTGCAGTATTGCTCATGCTAAGGGGGCATTATTTTTCTCTTTGTAAGCTATGTCATCTTTTTTTTTTAAACTATTATAAATATATAAAATAAAACATGCTTCACCAGAAACATGTAAGCAGCTATTAGAGGGGTAAGTAATTGAGAAAGACCCTAGAATGTAACATGTTGAGCTTTTATTACCAATCGGAGCTATAAGCAATCATATGGCCAAAGGCTGCTCTGTTGTTCTTGTGGCTGGGTTACGTGGAGAAGCCAGAGAGAGACAGAGGCTGTGAGAATGATGCAGGTAGTCATAGACAGTCAATGAAATAAACAGTATCTACTTAACTATTATCTGCTCCTAAAAAAATAACAACCTGTTAAATAAATTGTATTCCTGTGGTACAGGTCATTTCAAACAAAACAAGAAATAAAACAAAGAAATGTAAAAACTAATGCAGACAGAGTAATGTTTATTGTGTTAGAAGCTGCTCTGTTCTGTCCCTTGGGATGCACATGGCTCCAGAGAAAAGGCCAGTGGGGGGGAAAGCATGATCTGTCTGTATTTGCTGTGGAAGAGCAGGAAACCCCCAGCCCTCTCACTTAGAAATGCTCATTTCATGTTTTCCCGTATAAAAAAAATCTCAGCAAGCTTCTGAATTTTTGTGAGATGAGCTTTGCTGAGAACTTCTGAAACAGACACTGTTGCCAGTCTCTGCCACAGACCAGTTTATTTCCCCCCCCCCTCCTTTTCTTGATAAACAGGAGCTAGTGATGAAAAAATTCTTGAAGTTGTTCCAGTGAAGAAAAACCTCTAATCATAAAATAGACCACTGGCTTAAACCCAGCAGTGGCTTAAACCCAGCAGTGACATCATGAGTGTTGCAAGCATTACAGCAGCTGTCCAGTGCTTATGAAGTGGATGTAAGTGCTAAAGTTGTGGCATTCACATTGATCTGCTGGTCAGGCAGTGCAAGAGGGAAAGCTCATAGCTGCTTGAGAAAGCAGAAGGAAATGCAGTCTGCATTGGGGTAGAGATGTGAGAAACAAGGACCCCAGGTTTTTGTTCTGCCTCTGATTCTGTCAGTACCAGACATCATCCCACCCTGTTTAAGCACCTCCAACACACCCCAGCCAACACTGCTAATGTCCTAATGATGCATCAAACCAGGCAATCAAGAGGCTGCTCAGCCTGCACTCTGAAGAGGAGGTGGTGGCTGAATTAGTGGTGGCCAGTGGGAAAGGCCATGGGCTAAAAATGAGCCTAAATGAAAAAACAAGGTGAGCACAGAGCTGTAGTGGGACGTGAAGTGTTACAAGCTTTTTCTACACTGGAAACAGCTACTCCAGCCCCAAAGTCAGCAGCACCCTGACTGTGACAGATACAGTCTTGGAACAAACACAATCCCCTTGCAAGTTCACATAGCAGCTCACAGTCACACACAGCCCTCCTACATTGCATGCGTGTCCTCTGGATGCTGTATCCATTCACAGGTTTGGATTTGGCCACCTCAGC